CACCATCACCACCATATCCCCACCATCTCCACCATCCCCACCATCACCACCATCACCACCATCACCACCATCACCACCATCACCACCATCACCGTCACTACATCTCTCACCACCACCACCACCACCACCCTCACCTTCACTATAACTCTCCCCACTACCATCATCACCATCATTGCTACAACCCTCACCACCACCACCACCACCACCACCAATATAACTTTCACCACCACCACAACCTTCACTATAACTGTCACCACCAAAATCATCATCATCACCACTACAACCCTCTTCACCACCACTTCAATCACTACAACTCTCCCCACCACCATCATCACCACCGTCGCTACAACGCTCACAACCACCCCACCACCATAACTATAACCCTCACCCCCACCACCATCACTTCAACCCTTAACACCACCACACCACCACTATAACTTTCAACACCACCACCACCCTTAGTACAACTCACTTCAACTTTCACCACCACCACCCCAACCAACAACAACAACAACAACAACAACAACAACAACAACAACAACAATAACAACAACAACGACAACAACAACAACAGTAATACTTGTTTGGGAACAGCTGCGTCCAATATGATACAGTTCATACTACTACAACTCTGTTCCCTGTCAGAAACTATTATGCAGAGAAGAAGATATCCCGTTAATCCAAACAAAACAGGATACGAGAGGCAGCGTAGCGAAAAAAAGGCGCTCGTCAAAATAATCAGAGAGAAGAAACTGCCTTTTCTCCGCAGGTTTGTGAAATTTTATTACATTTTTGGGGTTTGTTTGGGTTTTTTTGGCTCAACACATTTCATACCCATTAAAGAACATTTTCTTGTGTGGATTTTGCTGAAAAACTTTGATTAAAGGCATCAAAAATGTAATTTTTCAGTTTCCACGGACTCTCAAGCTAAGGAAATAACTCATTTTTGCTGCCATTTTCTCACTAATTTCACATCTGAAACCAGGTGACCCCTTCCTCCTTCATTCGAAAATATCTCAACTGCTTTCAAGATAAATTGATATTTTTTTTCATCCAGAGGAAGACAAATGAACAGGCTTTAAAATGATACCAATAACTCTACATGCCCCAAAAATTTACGAGAGCCTCATTCCACCGCGTTGTGACACATATCCTTGTTACCTCTGCAGAACCCAGGAGAGAGCTGGTGGCGACCTGGTGATTGAACTTGTCACTCGGCTCTTAAATGGGGGGAGGGGGGGGGAGGGGGGGCTACACTCCCAAAGTCCCGATTCTGCTCAAAATTATGGAATTTGAGTTGTAGACATGTTTAGCTTCCCCAGCCTTTCCTACAACTATTCCATCTCATAAGAACCCCCAAAATCCGTATTTTTCCCCATAGCGGGCATGTTTGTCACCACTTTTTCCTAATAGAGTCAATATTTTATTTTTCTTTATCGGTCGTTTTCTCAAAACGCGACTTACTTTCTCTATACTTTTTTAATAACTCCACAATTTTTCATCCAATCCTCATGAAATTTTCACAGGATGAAGAGAAGATGTAATACTAAAAGTTTGCCTGTTGAATTTTAGATATAATAATATTGAATATACTTTTGTTGGCGGTGTCTGGAGTGTTGATTTTCACGGATTTTTTGCAAATTTAAATGCTACCTCAGGAAAAAATTCATTAAAAATGTTTTAATTGGTAAAGGAAAAAAACAACAAACAAAAAACAAATTTTTTATCCAATGTTTGTTAACACGTCTGCAAAAAAACAATGAATTTCCATGAGCAATTAGTGCGGTATTCATTACGTAAGACAAAATGGGTTAGCTCCCTTGTCCTTAAAAGCGACCATTTAACGACGGACGAAATACTGGGGTATGACGTCATCATTCTATTCTTGCCGGACCAGCTGGTCGTTGCTTCATTTAAGTTAACAAAATCCAATATGGCGCCGTATCTATGGAAACGAAACTTTTTCTCAAATTTGATTACGGATTTTAAGACTCCTTACTATGCTTGTTATACGTGTGAAATTTGGTAAAATTCGGTCCTGTAATCAGCGAGATAGCCTTCAGGTGTAGCCCCCCCCCCCCCCCCCCCACCTCTCTTAAGAAGGCATCGTGGTGAAATGACCGCTAGTCAAAATAATGAAATAGAAGAAACCCACATTTTTCCGCTGGGTGAACAATTTTGTTTGTTTGTTTGTTTTGTTTGGTTTTTTTGTATTGTTGTTTTTTGTTTTTAGTTGAAGTTTTTTTGTATGTGAGAAGGGAGGGGGGGGGGTGGCTCTCCCCTTTTATGTCTATATAATAAACATACTGTTGAGTGGGTTTTACTTTAAAATTGGCGATTAAAGACACTACAAAAACGTAAATTTTCAGTTTCCAAGGACTCTGAAGCAAAAGAAGTTACCAAACTTTGACAGACATTTTCTCGCTAATTTTACCTTTCATACCAGGTAACCTCTACCTTCTTGAATCTCAAATATCCCGACTTCCATTCACGATAGATGGGTATTATTATTTCATCGAAAGCACAGCATAAAATAAGTATGATTATGAAGTTCTATCTGTCCCCGTGATTTTATGCACCCCGCATAATTTAGCAAAATTTTATCTTTTTTTGTGGGCATAATTTCTGATTATTTTCCTATATCATACTTTGTTAAAATTAACAGAATCGCATAATTTCACATTTTGGGCCCAGTTTGCATGGTTTCATATATTTATTTTTTTTGCATGAAACCGCGTGGACAGTTCTAATTAAGATGACGATACCAATATCTCTACATGTTCAAACATTTACGAGCGCCTGGTTCTACCGCGTCTTGACACAAAATAAATGAAGCGACGACCAGCTGGTATGACAAGAATAGAATGATGACGTCATACGTCAGGATTTCGTCCGTCGTTAAATGGTCGCTTTTAAGGTCAAGGGGGCTAACCCATTTTTAAGGGGGGGGGGGGGTTCCAGAAATCTTGACCTACACCAAAAGTGGGCATTGGCCTACCTACAGGAGAAGTTTGGTTTCATTGGTGCGTATATTTGTTTGGTTATAGAGAAAACTTCCCTTGTCTTTTAAAGAAACTGAACAAGGGCCAAAAACTTTACGTTCGGTTTTCTCAAAAACAGCATTTTTCGGGATAGCCCCCGCCCCTCCCCCTTTAGCTTAAAAGCGACCAAATATCTTGTGATAAGCTGGGCCTGTCACGCGAGAGGTTGGAGGGTGCTCTGGTGTGGTCTGCTTCTTCTTTCCTAACAATCATTTGCCGTCCTAATCAATCTCTCCTTCCTTACTTCTGTGTTTATGTAGCTCTCTTGTAACGCCTCTAATCGTCGGCACTTAAATTGCCTAATTGTGTTGAAAATACTGTAAAACTCTACCTAAAACTAAAGGCAAGGCACATGCTTTGTTTTAACGGCAGCTTACTTTACGGGTATCTACTTTTGGGGACAATGAGCAACTGTGTAAGTATGTACAGAGAGAGAGAGAGAGAGAGAGAGAGAGAGAGAGAGAGAGAGAGAGAGAGAGAGAGAGAGAGAGAGAGAGAGGTGGGGCCGAGAGGACGAAAAAAAGAAAGGGAGATAAATATGTTTTTAAGACCTTAATGCAGTAATCGAAAGTTTATTTGGGCTCATTATCAAACACCGCTCTTTGGGTGCATACGCTGGATCACCACAACAAAAACTAGCACACAAATTGCTTATTTTGAAATAATATTATACCAACACAACCCTAACCCGCCTACATTTCAGAGTAAACTTATCAATTTCTTCACCAAACCGTCAATAAAAATCTACTTTAGTATAAAAAAGTATCCACTCATCTGCTTGACCATAAAATCATCATTGCTCTCTGATTCTTGACTCACATCTATAATCCTTGAACCTCTGTCCGCAAGTGGCGTCGGTGGCCTAGTGGTTAGGCTTTAGGACTCGCAATCGTAAGGTTGCGATTGAAGCAAGTGTGGGATTGGCCTGTTTTAAAGGTAAAGTTAGCGAGAAAATGACCGCCAAAGCTTGGTGAATTCTATGGCTTCAGAATCTTTGGGAGCTGAGCATCTACATTTCTTGTACCTTTAATTAACGTTTTTCCGTAAAATCCATACAGAAATGTGTTTTTAAATGAACACAAAAGGTGTTAAGCCAAGAAACAAAAATTCGACAAAGATTGCCGAACCGGCGGAAAAATACCATTTTCTTCAGTTTCATTATTATTTTGACGAGCGCCTGATTTCCCCGCGCCGCCTCACACGTGGTGGCCTAGTGGTTAGGCTCTCGGACTCGCAACTGTAAGGTCGTGGGTTCGAATCCCGTCAGGGGCCCGACGTTATGTCCTTGGGCAAGGCCCTTTGCACAAATTTTCCTCACTTCACCCAGGTGGAAATGGGTACCCGGCTATAGACAGTGAGAGATCTTGTCAGTTTGATAGTGTTAGAGCGCGTGAAATCCGCAGCTCTGAATGTTTCAGAGTGTTCTCAGAAGGTTTGCTGGGGTAATAATAGTTGTAAAGCGCATAGAACATGCTCTTGAGCATGGATATGCGCTATATAAATGCAATTATTATAAGTTACATGTCATACTTAGTATACATGTGATACACTTTTGAACACTGTCATGTGCCCTTTTTTCTACTAATCAGATGGCATCAATCTGATACAGATCTAAATTCTAAATGGGCAATTGATTTTTTTTTAACTGTTGGACCATGTTTCATTGGCATGCATTACAGTAGGGGTGTTAAACGAAAATAGGTCAACCTTTTGCGTTTCAGATTCTGATGTGGGCAGGGAATCCTCTATTATGTTGGGGGGGTGGGGGTGGGGGGGGTTTAACCCGCTTTAGGCTGTCATTAAATAAAGCAAACGTTTTGGAACCTAAGTTTGCAGTGACATACATTAAAAGGCTTCTAGATCCTGCTGATCATCCGACTCTTAGGCACCTTATGCAAAGACCTGAAAAGATTAAGCAGACCAATTAGTTTTTATTCTTTTTTAAGCGGGAAAGAGTGAAAGTGGACTAGTCTAACACCTCTCTTTTTTGGTTCATTTTAGTAAGAGTTTTACAGGACTTACAACATAATTGGGACAGTGGGTGGTTGGCGAGTGCTCTGGTGTGGTTTGCTTCTTCTTTCCTTTCAAACATAATAATATATTGCCATTATTATATCTCCCCTCCTTTTTTTGTGCGTTACTCTCTTGTAACACCTCTAATCTTCGGCACCTATATGACCTTTTCGTGTTGCAGGTGCCGTAAAACACTTACTAAAACAAACTAATTGGGCCATAAATAATGCACCCTCTGATGTAAGATCAGAGAACAAAATACCACGGAGTAGCTACCGAAATCTACCATGGAGTAGTTACTTTTGTTTTAAAATAATATGGTAGAATCGATTCAAATGCAGATCATTGACTCTTAAAACAGTTTATAATTAATTCGTTTTTTCCACGGGCATGTACTCATATTCTGACATTCTAATAAGTGTATCGCTACTACCAGACGATGGCAAAAGTGTGGTATACTTCGATTACTAATCCGTGGTGTCAGCGAAATGGAACCTAGGCAGGGGGGGAGTGGGGAGATTTGTGAGGCAGCGTGGTGGAATCAGGCTCTCGTCAATTTTTGGACACATAGAGTTATTGGTATCATCTTAAAGCTTGTTCACTTGTCTTTATTTGTTTGAAAAAAATATCCATTTATCTCAAATACAAGTCGAGATATTTGTGAATGAAGAAGGTGGGGGTCACCTGATTTTAGAGGTAAAATTAGAGAGAAAATGACCACCAAACATTAGTTATTTTCTTAGCTTAACAGTCCGTGGTAACTGAAAATTTACATTTTTTGTGCCTTTAATCAACGTTTTTCAGAAAAACCCACACATAAATGAGTTCTTTAATGGACATGAAAGGTGTTGAGCCAAAAAACAAAATTTTGATACAAATTCACAACCCTGCGGAAAGATGCAAGTTTCTTCACTTTGATTATTTTGACGAGAGCCTGATTCCACCACACTGCCTCTCATTTATTTCATAACGGTAGCTGTTCCGTGGTGTGCCACGTCAGCCTGCCTTTTTTCCTGAGGTAGTATTCAAGGTTGAAAAAAAATCGTGAAAATTCACACTCCAGAAACCACCACCAAAAATCTATTCTATATATATATATATCAAAAACTCAACCGACACATTTTTAGTATTACATCTTCTCTTCATTCTATGAAAACTTCTTGAAGATTGGATTTTTTTTAAATGGTGGAGTTATTCAACCTGCTTAGGGCCGCTCCACCTGTCCCTGGGGAACCTACGTGTACGTCTTTAGTAAAATTGCGATCGGACTAAAAAACAAAATCAACCAAAAAAAAACCCAACAACCAAATAAAACCCAAAAAATAAACCAAAACCATAACAAAAGAACAATAACAACAACAACATCATCATCATCATCATCATCATCAACAACAACAACAACAACAACAGCAACAACAATAACAACAACAACAACAACAACAACAACAACAACAACAACAACAACAACACGCGTGTGAAGGATTCAGGGAAGCTGGACTGCCTCACCCGCTACCTAAGAGAGGCGGTGGCCCCTGCGAAGAACACGCTCTTCGGGGCTCCAAACATTTCGAACGGATAGGCTACCACACACACACACACACACACACACACACACACACACACAGAGAGAGAGAGAGAGAGAGAGAGAGAGAGAGAGAGAGAGAGAGAGAGAGAGAGAGAGAGAGAGAGAGAGAGAGAGAGAGAGAGAGAGAGAGAGAGAGAACAGACAAACAAGCAAAAAACAAGCGCAAACTACTTCGAAGGTCAACGAAGGTTTGCTACTCGCAGGGACAAAGTGTAATCATCTCTGAATATGTTCGGTTGTCTACCTTCGACTGTTACGAAGTAGGAACAATGTGTCATTGTTGTTTGGCAGTCGCACCACCACTCTCAACTCTCAACTCAGACATAGATCGAACTGTTTGACCTTAGCCTACCACTGGAAAATAATCAACCATCTCTTGTTTGTTTTTGTAAGTGTTTTACGGCGCTCGCAACTGCATCAGGTCATATAAGCGCTCGGGACATATTAAACTTTTTCAGTTGGTAGGAAATTTTATATTTTGCCCGGTTGGCGGCGTAGCCTACTCTTATCGATTTTAGACTCCAAAGGGATCTTTAACGTGCACAGCTTGCACACGGGTCCTCCGAGATTTTTCGCCCTCATACGAGAAGACTATGTGTAGATCTTTCCAACCAGAAGATCAGGGGTGTGGCTGAAAGGCAGCAGCAAGGAGTGGCCAAGGAGTAGCAGTAGAAAGCCACCTCTGATTCTTTTGACCTAGACTTTGAATGTAAAAGGGAGCTAGCTGTTTTAATATAAATTCTCCATTCAATTCTTTTTCTAGTGATAGATACCAAGTGTATGTCATCAAAATGAAAATTGGCTTCACAGTCCTGTTTCTCAAAAACGTGTCGAAATGCTGCGGTTTCTGGCCGGGGAATTGCTCAACCGCTGACTCAGTGGAATATCTTGATAACCACGACGAATAATCTTAGGATTTTGATAGAGGAGATAGCACATTTGGTTTCCTACCACATGGTCTTAGTAACTCCAAATAGTCAAAAATGTCAGAAAGAACTTTGTAATCCTAAAGGGAGTGATTTACCTCTACTGATATAAAGAAGTTTTGTTTGAACCTCTCTTGTACAACCGTTGAGGGAAATGTCGCCGCATTAGGGGTTAAGCAAGACACAAACAGGTCGCTTTTAAGGACAAGTGGGCTAACCCATATTTCGGGGGTTTCCAGAAAACTTGACTTAAACCAAAAGTGGGCATTGCTCTACCTGTAGGAGAAGTTTGGTTCAATTGTGTGTATATTTGTTTAATTATAGAGAAAACTCTCCTTGTCTTTTAAAGATACTGAACAAGAGTCCACCAACTTTACCTTCGATTTTCGTAAAAACAGCATTTTGCGGGATAGCCGCCTTGTGCTTAATAGCGACCTATTGATGGACACCGCCAAGACGGATTTGTAGCCGGACAAACAATATAGTATAAGACAAAGCAACAAAACGGAGTGGAAGGGGGGCGGGGTAATCTGTCTTGGTAATTTATTTTGTTTTTGTTTTTTTATGTCGCTCCCAACTGTTGTAAAAGGCAACATTATGAGCGCTCGGGACATAAACATTGAGAGGGGATACTAAATGTAACCAAAACGAGAAACCACATTTTAAAAAAAAACAAATCAAAGAAACGCTTGATCTACATCAGAGTGGGTTTACAGTATTACTGTAAACTCTCTGATCTACATCCAGGGCCCGTACACTCCGCCATGCCTAGACGGGTTGCTTCTCCAGTCGTGTGTGGGCCAAACTGGTGGTACAGACTCTGCGTTGAACTTCACCAGATATCTGAGGAGGGAGCGGACAGTGCCGGGCATCTGATGGGACAGGTCATGTCGCTCGTTGGGGTCCGCTGTGATGTTGAACAACCACACGTTCTTATTGGGGTGCTTGTGGCGCTCTGTGGGTGGAGAAACAGCGTTACAAAATATGGGGGACTTAGAAGGCATGGTCTCAGTAATTTGTTTTTTTGTTTGTTTTTGTAAAGTGTTTTACGGCGCTCGCAACTGCATAAGGTCATATGAGCGCGCGGGACACACCGAATATTTTTAGTTGGTAGGAAATTTTGAATTTTGCCCGGGTGGCGGCCGAAGCCCACTCTTATCGATTTTAGACCACCAAGGGATCTTTAACGTGCGCAACCCTCCGAGATTTTTCGCCCTTGTCCGAGAAGGCTAGGTGTAGATCTTTCCTACCAAAAGAAAGAGAGCAGTAAGGAGGAGCCAAAGGAGTAGCAGTAGAAAGGCTGCAGAAAGAGTCAGGAGCCCAGAGGGGGCAAAGGAGGCGAGGGGGTGGGGGCAGAAAGTGGAAATGAAAGCGGAAAACAGAACATTGCTAGAGAGCAGGAATGAAGGTGAAAGGAGACAATTTTTTAGAGAAGAAAATTTTTCGATCGCTACCCGGATTCGAACCCGGGACTTTTGAATGAGAGGTCAACACCTTAACCTCTAGGCCACGAGAACCCCCGATCTCAGTACTATGTGAGGCAGCGCGGTGGAATCAGGCTCTCTTCAAAATAATCAAAGTGATGAAACTTGCATTTTTCAGCAGGTTTGTGAATTTGTAACAATTTTTTTTATTTTTTTGGCTCAACACTTTTCATGTCCATTGAGGAATTCATTTCTGTGTGGATTTTTTTAAATGTTGATCAAAGGCATAAAAAATGTAAATTTTCTGTCACCATGGACTCTTAAGATAAGGAAATAACTAATCTTTGGAGGCCATTTTCTCCCTAATTTTACCTCTGAAAATAGGTGACCCCCACCTCCTTCATTCTCAAATATCTGGACTTGTATTTAAGATAAATGGATATTCTTTTCATCCAAATAAAGACAATTGAACAAGCTTTAAGATGATACCAATAACTCTACATGCCCGTCAAACTGACGAGAACCTGATTCCACCACCATGCCTCACATTATATGATCAAGCAATGCCAGAGCTGAAAAGAAGAAGAAGAAGAAGCAGAAGTAGGAGGAGGAGGAGGAGGAAGAGGAGGAGGAGGAGAGGAAATTGCATTTATTTAGCCCTCTATCCCATACGAGTATAAGCTCTGAGAGTTTATAACATCTAGATTTAAATCAGTTAGGAGGCGGGCTGCGACCATGTCTATCAAGGCCAACCCATGAAGAAAGACCGAGATATTCGATAAAATTAATGTCGCCCCACATGGGAATCAAACTCATTTGTGAGGCAGCGTGGTGGAATCAGGCTCTCGTCAAAATAATCAAAGTGAAGAAACTTGCATTTTTCAGCAGGTTTGTGAATTATTATCACATTTGGGGGGGGGGGGGGGGGGGTTGGGCTCAACACCTTTCATGTACATTAAGGAATTCATTTCTGTGTGGATTTTTTTTAAACGTTGATCAAAGACATAAAAAATGTAAATTTTCTGTTACCACGGACTCTGAAGCTAAGGAAACAACTAATCTTTGGAGGCCATTTTCTCCCTAATTTTACCTCTGAAAATAGGTGACCCCCACCTCCTTCATTCTCAAATATCTCGACTTGTATTTAAGATAAATGGATATTCTTTTCATCAAAATAAAGACAATTGATCAAGCTTTAAGATGATACCAATAACTCTACATGCTCAAAAATTAACGTGAGCCTGATTCCACCACGCTACCTCACATATTGTCTTCTGCGTGCGACAGTTAAGCACCCAACCGCTACACCACAAACGGCGGTTTAAGAACTGTTACAGAACTTTTTCCAAATATAAGTCCAAGGTATAAGGTAAGACGAATAAGTTTTTAGAATCATTATGAAATTGAAATAATGAAAACGTTAATAATGTGATTTTACAATGACATGTAAAGGGAAAGTAAGCCATCTTGCATCACACTTTTACAGACACCACATTTTGACCAAGTAATACAAGCAGAAACGCAAAGAGATGACATCTGTCGTTAAGGCAATAAAAAAACTAAAGAAAAAACATTAACCATTATGGAAACAGTACTTTGCAAGGTTGCAAAACGACAACAGCAAAATAATACACAGAATGAATTGTATGGGGAAAGCATCAAACACAGTAAGCAAGAGAGAGAGAGAGAGAGAGAGAGAGAGAGAGAGAGAGAGAGAGAGAGAGAGAGAGAGAGAGAGAGAGAGAGAGAGAGAGAGAGAGAGAGAGGGAGGGAGAGAAGGGTGAGAGACATACAGACAGACAGACAGACAGACAGACAGACAGACAGACAGACAGACAGACAGACAGACAGACAGAAAAAGAAAGAGGGGGAGAGAGAGAGAGAAGAAGAAGGCACGGACAGACAGACAGACAGACAGACAGACAGACAGACACACAGACACACACACACACACACACACACACACACACACACACACACAGATAGAGAAAGATATACGGCTCCTACCGTCTGAGATATCAAAGTCCACCTTCTGCCCCGGAAGTGGCCACCATTTTGCGTCGCCAGGGTCCCCTGTGATGAGCTTCATGTCGCCCACCCTCACAGCCGCCCTCACGCTGGTGTCGAAAGTGTCGTTGTACAGAGGAACACCTCGTTTGGGGAACAGCTGGTCAATGTTGTGGAGCAGGACGGTACGTCTGCTTGGCTTCCCGGCGCTGTGGAAGAAGAGGAAACCCTTAATCGTGATGCAGCGTGGGGGAATCAGGCTCTCGTCAATTTTTGGGCATATTGAGTTATTGGTATAATTTTAAAGCTTGTTCGTTTGTCTTGCTGTCTAGAAAAAAATTACCCATCCATCTTCAATACAAGTGGAGATATTTTGGATTGAAGGAGGTGGGGGTAACCTGGTTTAGGAGGTTAAATTAGGGAGAAAATGGCTGCCCAAGCTTTGTAAATTCCAAAGTTGGAGAGTCCATGGAAACTGTAAATTTATATTTTTGTGCTTTTAATCAACGTTTTCGGTATAATCCTCAAAGGAATGTGTTTGTAAATAGACATAAAAGGTGCTGAGCCAAAAAACAAAAATTTGATAAAAATTGCTAAGCACGGAGAAAACTGCTAAATATCAGTTCTTTTATCTATACATTCTTGCACTGTTCAACGTATCAATTCTTTTATATATACACTCCTTAAATTACCCAGAAACGTATCAGTTCTTTTATCCATGCACTCTTGAATTCAGCAAAGTATTCATTCTTTTTTTCCCGTATTATTATAATGTTCTCGCACTCACCCAGCAGCGTAACAGTTCTTTTGTCTTTGCACTCTTGCACTCTTACACTCACCCAATGACCTATCAATGTTTTCCATTTTTAGGCTCACGCACTACAGAGAACTTCACTTCAGAAAACGACAAGGCGAAACAGAAAAAAAACCCGTTGAAATGTCCGTGAACGGAGAAGAGCAAAGCTCACAGCTTGCACAAAGCAAGTTCCCACTATTCTGTAGGGTTTTTTTTTCAAGTTTACAATTAAATAACTACATTGTTAACATACTTGGACAATGCCATTTTCAACCTGTGGCCAAAATAAAACTTTTGTATTATTGTTTAAGTTAGAGATTTACGGCACTTGCAACAGAATAAGGTCGTATGAGTTCTAGAGATTAGAGGCATCACAAAGAAGTAACAAACACAAAAAGAAGGAGGAGAGATGAGAACAATAGATGTTTGGTACGAAAGAAGGAGAAAACAACACGAGAGCACCCCTGTCAACCACCCACGTTTACATTCTTGGGCAACGCCACTTTCAATCTGTAACCAGAATCAAACTCCAAAGACAATAAACTCGACAGTAAATAAATAAAGTGGGTGGTTGGCGGGTGCTCTGGTGTGGCTTGCTTCTTCTTTCCTATCAAACATCCATCGCCCTTATCTCCCCTTCTTTTTTATGTTTGTTACTCTCTTGTAACACCTCTAATATTCTGGCGCTCATATGACCTTATGCAGTTGCGAGCGCCGTAAAACCCTCTACTAAAACTAAAACTAAAATGAATAAATGTGTGCCATACGTGATGGTATCCCACTGGTCAATTCCGTCCAGAGGTTTCGTTCCGTTGAGGGAGCCCTTGGCCAGGTTCACCAGGGTAGGGTACCAATCAGTGACGTGGATCAGCTCGTTGTTGACCAATCCCTTGACCGGCATCTTCCCGCCGGTGACAAAACCCACGCCGTGCATCCCCCCGTCCCAGAGGGTGTGTTTGTGGCCCCGGAGAGGGAAGTTGTTGCCACCGCCGTACACTTGACCACCGTTGTCTGTGGGTTTGTTGGGGGGGGAGAAGACGATATAAGGACAAAATGTTACATTACGATAAGATAAGATGAGATAGGATACGATAAGATCAGATGAGATAAGATAAGATAAGATAATAAAAGAATAGGTAAGATAAGATAAGATAAGATAAGATAAGATAAATAAGATACACCTTTATTGTCCAGGTCCTGGCACATTGGTTTGGTTCTTCAACCACGTACACACACACACACACACACAAACACACACACACACACACACACACACATACATACACACATGCGCGCGTGCACGCACTCTCACACGCACACGCAGAGACATGCACTCACACGCAGTATGCTTGCACTCACAAACTGGCTAACATTCACAAGTACAATAAAAAATGAACAGTAATATAAACAATACTAATGTTAACCTAGATACATACTCAGTATTCAGGAATCTCACATCCACGCGGTCTGACCTAGAACTAAGTTCCCCTGTTCTTTAAAATCAACATGCCAATGTACATGCCTATCGAGAGAGATTTGTTTTTATTCAACATAACAATCGTTGATCTCAGTGCATGTTTTCATCCCATCTAGCAAGCAGTCAAACAAAAGTAGTGACATTGTCCCCTTCGGCCAGCATAAATTGTTTTGAGCAAAATATCTTCCTCGTCTTTCAATAATTGCTGCCACCATAATATTGGTCCCTTTTTGGTTTTGGGGAAGAAATGAAAGTTGCGTGGAATAACGTGCCAGTGTGGTTCAAATACAGAAGGATGGGTCAAAACCCACACTTGTGTCGTCAAAATGGAGAACTTTCCTAGCGTCTTCGGCCCTGAACGAATGCTCAAACAGAGCTGCCGAATTTCCGAATAAATTAGGAAATCTGGATCCCTAAATATTTGGAAATCCGGATAGTGTCCAACTTTCAGGCCAATCGTTGAGAAGTTGTATTTTTTTTAAACAAACAGAAAAATAACAACACGAAGCATGCGCGCATTTTGCCTCCCCTTAACAGAACGCAAAATGGGCTATTACTGTTTTAGTAGCGACTGTATTATAATTATTTTCACGTGACGTTTTGGCCAGCTTTCGTTGCATTTCAAAGCCTAAAACTTCAAGGCATTTTTAATCTAACAACACTAATTTATTCAGATATGAGACCTAAACGTCTGAAGGGCGCACTTTCTTTCTTTAATAAAAAAAAAGACAATAATATATTAAAATTTGTTTAATTACCTCAAACTAAACTTCAGTTGGTTTAAGTAGCTGTATATCATTAACCTTCACCCTCTCGTCATAAGACCTTAAGACCTTACGTTTGGTCCTAATTCAACTCGGCAAACACTGAATTTTTTTCCATCGTGGTTTTTAACATCTGGATAACATTGCACTTCCTCAGAATTACAAAGTTCTATCTGCTCAGTACCTAGTTAGGAGAAATTTGACGCTAAAGATTTTGAGCTTCACAACATGTCAAGCTTTTTCGAATGTAATTCTTTGAATAATATCTTGATAACGACTCCAAATAATCTTACGATTTTGATAGAGCAGATAGAACATTACTTCTGGTTTCTGACCTTACGGTTTTAGCAACTCAAAGCGGCGAAAAATGTCAGATAGGACTTAGTAATTCTGAGGTAGGGATTAGACTAGTTATTGGACTAGTTATTGGACTAGTTATTGGATTAGTTCTGTGACCTGATTGGCCTCCGAGTCGGTCCGTACTCACTCACCAGTAGAGAAGACAAGGATGGTGTTGTCCCAGATGCCTTTGTCCTTGAGCGCCTTGGTCACATTGCCCACGCCCTCGTCCATGGCGGCTACCATGCCTGGGGGGCGGGGGGAGCAAGTTGATTTTAGTAAGAGTTTTACGGCACTTGCAACACAATAAGGTTATATTATTATATTGTTTATGTTATTTGGAAGCAACTTGATTTTAGTAAGAACTTTTCGGCATTTTCAACACAATAAGGTTATTTTCTAAATGTGAGGCAGCGTGGTGTAATCAGGCTCTCGTCAATTTTTGGGAATATTGAGTTATTGGTATCATCTTAAAACTTGTTCATTTGTCTTGCTTTCAATGATAAAATTACCCATCCATCTTCAATAGAAGTGGAGATATTTTGGATTGAAGGAGGTGGGGGTAACCTGGTTTAAGAAGTAAAATTAGCGAGAAAATGGCTGTCAAAGCTTGGTAAATTCCAAAGCAAGAGAGTCCATGGAACCTGTAAATTTATATTTTTGTGCCTTTAATGAACGTTTTTAATTGAAATCCTCAAAGAAATGTGTTTGCAAACGAACGTAAAAGGCGTTGAGCCAAAAATAAAAAAAATTGATAAAAATTGCTAAGCAGGGAAAAAATGCTGTTTTCTTCGATTTCATTGTTTTGACGAGAGTCTGATTCCACCACGCTGACTCACATATATTATATATTACACACACACACACACACACACACACACACATATATATATATATATATATATATATATTTATATATATATATATATATATATATATATATATATGAAGAAAGCGAGGACATTAGTTACCTGCTTACTAGAACACTCCTCAACCCCTCCCCCCCAAACAAAACCAAAAAAATCCCTACAAACCCCACGCCATCACCCCAAACCCCCTCACACACATTGTCATGTTCCCTATTCCAGCCTCTCTCCCCTACTTCCTCCCCATACCGTCTCCCAACAGAGCCATATTCCATCAATCCGACACCAAATTACAAATATGTGGCAGTCTATTTTGTGAACCTCTATATGCTGAAAACAAGAAATTCTTCTTTTCATGTAAATGAATAAATCAGAAAAATTACCGGAATAAAAATTAAATACCAAAAACTACTGCAAGATTAAAATTTCTTCCCCCAAAAACTAAAAATTGAAAAAAAAAATCGCGATCTCAGTTCTTTCTTGTCCTATCCCCATTTTTAATAACAGTGGTAACATTTCATAACAAAGAGTGAGCTTACGAAGATGTCAAATTTTCACTGTTTAAGGGTGTAGGAGTGTGTAGTTTGTGAGTGAGGTGATGCAAGGCAGAGAGTCAGAAAGGGTAAGGAAAGATTTGCTAGGTAAAAAAAAAACTGGAGATACGACAAGAAAGCACTAAGATTGCGAAATGTGCTGATTCAGTTTGACCAGCTGCAGAAGCCAAACCTGCGTATATTCTTCGCTTCTCGTCTTTAATGTGGCTGTACTTCTTCTCGTACTCCTCGGGCACCATTAGCGGGTCATGGACTGACTGGTAGGCCAGGTACATGAACAGAGGCTGAAACATGTGGGAGAGAACACAGTATGAAATATGAGGGAGAGAACAGAGGATGAAATTTGAGGGAGAGAACAGTGGATGCAATATGAGGGAAAGAGCAGAGGTGAAATATGAAGGAGAGAAAAGAGGTTAAAAGATAAGGGAGAGAACAGAGGACGAAATATGAGGGAGAGAACAGAGGATGAAAGATAAGGGAGGGAAAAGAGGATGAAATATGAGGGACAGAACAAAGGATGAAAGATAAGGGAGGGAGAGAAAAGAGGATGAAATATGAGGGAGAGAACACAGTATGAGATGTGAGGGAGAGAACAAAGGATGAAAGATAAGGGAGAAAGAGAACAGAGAGTGAAATATGAGGGAGAGAACAAAGTGTGAAAGGTTCTGTTCGGTTTGGTAGATGGGACTAGCCAGATTTAGGACGAAAAGCGACCATCGAGGCACAAACCGAACGAAGCCGACGGTGACCTTCAAAAACAAGGCCTCATGTCTGGTGATCTGTGTGTGTGTTAGAGAAACGATTCCCCAGTGCGCACTGAGTATGAGATTCCCCACCTCTACACATCACAACACAACACAACACATCACATCACATCACAACACACAACACAACACAGCACAACATAACACAACACAGCACAACACAACACAACACAGCACAACACAACACAACACAACACACAAAAACACATCACAACACAACACATCACAACACAACACATCACAACACAACACAACACAGCACAACACAACACAACACATCACAACACAACACATCATAACACAACACAACACATCACAACACAATACAACACAACACACCACAACACAACACATCACAACACATCAAAACACATCATAACACAGCACAACACATCACAGCACAAAACATCACAACACAACACAGTACAACACATCACAAGACATCAAAACACATCATAACACAGCACAACACATCACAGCACAACACAACACAACAGATCACAACACATCACAACACATCACAGCACAACACTACACAACACAACACGAACTCACTCCCCCCCCTCCCCC